AGGGCGGGTTGCCGACCTCCAACCCCCGGGGAAGGCTGGTGTTTCTCGACTCGTGATTTTGGCATTGTCCACCTAACTGCTGCGTATAATGGGACACGGGTATTTCCCGCTGGAGGCCTATGCCACTTGGCGCGGGCATTACCCCGGGCTCCCGGTACCCCCTTCGCGAGTCCCCCTTACTGCTGCTTTTGAGTGACTCTCTGAACTATACAGGAAGCCCAAATTCTCAATCTTTTTTTTTACTAGGAACCAACGAAGGAAACCCAAAATCTCGCCGATCTCCTCTACACAGGGACCCCAGAAGTAGCATTGGCGGTACGCGTTACTACGTCACGCCATGCTCGTATTCGCACCTAGTGTTTTTTACTGTCATACAAATTTGCTCTTATGGAGAAATACAAAAATTATTCTTACCGCTTCTAGTCTTGACTCCAGTAAAGAGAGCATTAGCCGTACCGGCCGAGTCAGGAACTTGTCGATTTGTATTGTACGTCTTCGACAAACCAGTCTATGGAAACTCTTCATACGACAGATACCCCTCTTCACCTTTCTTGCCGTTCTGTTGTCCCTTTAGTATCCTTGCAGCGGTGTTGGTATTGATGTCACAGCCATCTCCGACGAACAGGATGACGTTCTTTGCTGGATTGTGATTGGGCTTCTGGGACAACAGCTTGTTCAATTTGTCGACACCATCAATAAACCATTGGTTCTTTTTCTGGGTTGATCTTAAAGAGTCGGCAGCATCAGAGCCTAAACGACATGATCAAATGAATAATGATAATTAAACTAAGTGGAGGAGTGCAATATGGGCAGTAATTATATCCATTTTGAAATCATTGGGGATTTCTGCAATCTGATTGGCTCAATTAAGTACTTTTGTGTTTGCTCGATAATCTTTATCTGAAAGGAGATGATGAGCGATTTTTTTTGTAGGTGTTAAAAGCTCAGTTGCTCGATATTTTGTGAGGGATTTTAAAGTACGTACCCCCCTTTTAATTATTTAATTCATTCGGCTAGAGGTCGGCTAGAGCTAATTTTGCTCCTTTATACTTGGTATTAGCTCAAGGCCCCGTCCGCACTATGCCGGATAAATTTGAATCCACAACTTTCACACCGAAACTGAAAAAAAAAAAATTTCCGTCCACACATGAAAACGGAGAAAATGTTTCGCGTCCACCACTAGTCCGATGAGTGGCGGCAAAAACGCTTCATTGCACATCTGAGCATGAGCATCCAAGCTGAAATTGAGCCCGCGGTGAATTTTTAGCCTTCCTGCCATGTTCCCATGACAATTATGACGTCATCGTATTCGAAAAATTTCGGATACGAAATGTTCTCCGTCCACACTAATCAGCTAATGCGGCTAGCCGGCGTTTTCAAATTGTTCCACTCTGGAGACCATATTCGAAAAAATCGCCCGGACTAGTGTGGACGGTAGGCCTAACCGAATAAAATAAAATTCGGATTCAAATTTATCCGGCATAGTGTGGACGGGGCCCAAGTAGCGATACGTGAGCGGGAAAAATTGTTCGACAGAGAGCGAAGAACCTAGGACCAACCGTTATGAAATCAGTCTATCGTAAGCACCAGTTTTTTCAAAAAAAGACCAAGCAAGGGAATGTAGGGAATTTAACTTTTGGTGGCTTAGTGGTTATAGGTTTGGGAAGTCGACTTGATAAACCAGTAGATGATGATCATACTCTCAAGGGTCACTGAAGCGTAATTTGGGGTCTATATGAGCTTACCTTTGTGGTTCTGTAGAAGTATGGTCATTAGGAATAACAGAAGAACCCTCATCTTTGGTGCTGAAGTTTGAATCAATACTGTTCAAATGGAAGCATGTGTCAAGTACGATCTAGAGTACGGGGTCGTCAACTGTGTCCAAATATATGTTCTACCACGCTGCATGGTCACGCTATTGATTTTGACGTGTGCACGTCGGACCTGATATGCCAATCAACGTAAAAGCAGCTGCTTCTGTCTGTGAATATCATTAAGTTTTTGATAAGTAGGGGCCAACAAGTTGAATGAGAGTTAGACTAGAAAATGACAAGGTTAAAAGGTATGATTTTACCAGTCCAGCTTGTCTCAACGCAGTAGACATTTCCGATTTAGCGGCATAGGGAAAGTATATTCCGCATTCT